AATATGTGTCTATCCTCATTCAACGCGTCTATGTGTCCGGCACTCCAACATCACTCAACCCGTGGGGTTCCAGCAGCTATCCCCACGCAACCCGTCTATGTGTCTGGCAATCTCAAACCTCCCCTTTCCGTGGGGTTTCAGTATACAGCTATAATCACTCAACACGTCTATGTGTCCGGCAATCTCCTACATCACTCAACCTGTGAGGTTTCCGTAAGCAATCCTCACTCCACGCATCCATGCGTCACGCGTCTTTGGTAGCGCATACTATGGGGGATATATTTGGGGTGGCGTGTTTTACAGCGCTTTGCCAACAGCGCCAACCCACTGAAGTCTAGATTGCGGGGGGTGGGGGGGGCGGCTTGTTTTACAACGTCGTTGCCAAGCGACGAAAACCCAACCCCGATGGCAAGCACCGGGGGCGGCGGCTTGTTTTACAACGTCGTTGCCAAGCGACGAAAACACAACCCCGATGGCAAACACCGGGGGGGCGGGGGGAGCGCCGGAATTAGCGGGGCCGTTACCCAGCATGACAAGGATCTCGTGTCCTTTCCTTGACAGTAAACTCATGAACCGGAGGTAGGTAAGCTTGGTTCGCCCTTTTGTGCACACTATTGGGCTCGGCCTCAACTCGCTCCCACACAGGCGGGGCGTATTCTCGTGTACTGGTGACGTCGCTCCGTTCTCTCCTGCCTTTTCACTCTTTGCGGCGGGGTTTGACCTTGGGCTCGCGGGTGTGCTTATCCGAGGCATTGGATTTGTTTTGTTTCCCTTCTGGGGAGGCCTTGCGGCGTTCGAACGAGGCGGTTATCGTTCCAGCCGACGCAGAATCCCCGCAGATTGCGCGTTCCGCGCAGCTACCGACCACATCTCCGCGCGCAGTGTCTCGGTTGGGACCTGACCAGGGGGGTATATTTTCCCCGCAGCAGGGAATGGGGGAAGGCCGAGATGTCAACGCCAAGTATGACCTCGTCGAATTTGCATGCTACAGAGTTTTCTCAAACGTTCACAATGCAGGTATTTCGCGAGTCGGCGGTTCGCTGCTGCGCCAGCGGCTCGTGGGAACGACGGTGGACGAGACCGTGAACATCGGAGGCAGGAGGACGAAAACCGTAGCGAAGCGCTGCATCAGGGCTAGCGTCAGCATTACGGTCGTAGTGGGAGGTACGATTTATCGGGATGCGAAGCATGCAGTAGCTTACGACGCACCACTGTGGCCGGACGTTTAGGCCACTTGGTTGCCGTGCATATCCCAGGAAAATTACCGTCAGCTTTTGGTGAGCCTCAACTCAATCCGGACCTGGGACGATGGTCACAAAACGAATCATGAAGTGACGAAACTCGAGCGTGGCCACCGGCCGCCACAGCAGGCCTCACCACATCCGAGACATACGCCACATGATCCTCTCCGAGGAAGAAGACCCTGTCAAAACATCTTGTTGGATGGAACCAATTTTATCCCAAGCACGGTACTACAGCAGCCTGCGAAAGTTGGTGGCCTTTAGGCATTTTCTTGTGGCTGCCGGCCTTGCGACGCTACCCGTCTCGGGTAGATGTTTCCCAGTTGGTTTTGCGTTTAGAAAGTGGTACATTATTCCACATTCTTTCGGAGGAGATACATTCTTATCTGGCACAACATGCAGGCAAGAAATCAAGAACCATGAAAAATACCCCAGGTTCCGGGGGAGGCAAGTCGGTTTGGTCCCTCAAGAGAAACAATACCAACAACAACTGCCGCCTCATACACCGCGTCGTCTTGAAACGGGGGAAAGAAAACTTGAACGTCAGCCAAACTGTTTACTTGTTTACTTTTTTGAGCGTAAAGATTGATGGTGTGTATGACCACCGGCAGACGAACCCCCCACCATCCCGTCTGTGCTCTTAGGCATCAGCATTCCACGAGAAAAATACCGCCTTCTGTGTCTTCCGTGTCAGCACACGCGCTTTTCTCATGTTCAGATTCAACAAGCAAGAAAAATACAGACCAAGCGGCCATCGCGGGTGCATCCGGCGAGGAAAGCAAGTATATTGTGCAATAATGCCCATGATGTACGTATCGAACATCATTGTACATATACCACATATATCACCGTGTGCAGCGCAGATTTCCATGCCTTGAAAACAACAAAGTGTTACGAAAACCCCTCAATGATCACCTTCTGAAATGCTTCACCAGACGCGGCGGCACCCCTTCCCTCAGAGTCGAGGGTGGTGGTCGACACAATGAAAATCGATACACCACATATGAGTGAGGGATAGCGAAGCGAAGGTATAGATAACAGAACAAGCATGACATACATCTGAAACAAGAAGTCTCGGATGCCAGCCCCATAACCAACCATTTTCGGCACAGACAAAAACAACGATCTATACTATGCTAACGACGATTCACCGCCAAACATATCGTAAGCAGTGTGTATGTACACTTTTACCATCACGAAAAACATAGTGTGTACAACAAAAACTTGGTGGGTTGAGACACTTTCGAAGATTCGGAAGAAGAATAAAGCGCGCAAAAATCTGAAAAAAAGCGAACAAACAACACGAACACCAAGTGTGCAATAGCAATAACCTAGTTGCAGAATGTTAACACATTTTGCAACAAGCATGAGAAGCATGAGGAAACTATCTTGCAACATCAAGTGGATGTTGCATCCAACACTGGGAGGAAGCGAAGCACGCCGGCACACGGCAAGCGGTGGCTGCCCATCGAGTCGATATCCCTAATCTGTGTTGACCTTGCTCCCAATCCATGGCGACTACCCGAAAAGTAGACCAGGGTTGGTTGTGGCCTGAGGAAAATTAATTCGAGAGGCGCCACCGGCATTTTCTTCCCTCAATAGTAGTTCCATAAAAAAGACTGACCTGGAACCTATATGCCTTTGAGGCGATGACTCTACTAAACGTGCTGACGCACCGCAAAACCGAACCCGCATTCGCTACGAAGACTATGACTGTAAAGTATTTCCCCCCTGCAACGAACGCTTGAGTTAGCATCCGTAGACCTCGACCTCTGAAAGCTTGGAGTATGCTCCAACGTCGTTTCCCTTGCCGACGACATATATCTTGTGCACACCGTCCAGGTCGATGGAGAAGGTCTGCATGCCGACTTGCGTGGCGGCCTGCTCGTTGAGCATCACGGGCGTCCAGGTGTAGGCGTGGGCACTCTGGACGTAGACGAAAAAGTACTGGTGCGCGAGGTGGCCGTCGAAGAAGGCGATGTTGAGAAAAGAGACGCGTGTGTCACCCGCGAAGGTGAGCTGCACCATGTCGTTGGAGAGGTCGGACTCGCTCTGGGTGTTGATGGTGGACCACCATGTCTCGTAGTTGCCGTCGAAGAGAACCCTGACGTCATCGGAGCGGCTGGCCTTGGCGCCCGTGGGGACCAGCTTCGTCGGTGCCGAGCATACCTCCCCGGCGAGCATCCCCAGCTCTTCTCTGATGGCTTCGATGCCACCGAATAGGGCGTTCGTCTCTGCCGACTTGGCGCACACCTCGACCTCGGTGAACGCCGTCCAGTTGTTGAAGTTTTTTTTTTTTTTTCCGTGGGTCTCGAGGCGTACGTACAGGGCCTTGCGGGAGGAGAAAGAGAAGGTCTGCACGTCGCCCATCGCTCCGCTGGACTCCTTGCGGGAGATGACCGTCTTCCAGTCGTCGCCGCCCTCCTCCATGACGGAGATGTCGAACACCTGGATGCGTTCCGCTTCTGCGGCCTTCATGAAGAAGCCGATGGCCACACCGTTTACTTCAGTCTCCTCCTGGAGCTCTAATGTGATGGCAGTGCCCTCGCGGTGTACCGAGAAGTACGTCTCGGTGGTGCCATCTAAGAGGTTGCTGACCTCCGTGGTGGAGTCTGCGTACTAGGCGTGTAGCACGGACGCCTGCTTGACTTCGACGACGGTGCTGCAGGATCCAAGCCCAGTCAAGCCCGCAGACTCGTTGGTCTCGATGACGTCGATCTCCGGCTCGCTGTCTTTGGCATCATTGGTGAAGTTGACTCCAGCTTCGAGGCCATTATCGTCTAGGGGCGCATCGACTTCATCACCCTCCTCCGGCGCGGGCGCCGGGGCCGAGCTTCCTGTACCGATGTCTCCAGGGTAGGCAACCGGCGCTAACCACCGACCTTGAGCACTCCCCGGTAGCCACCGCCTCGCTGAACTGCTCCTGGTCGTCCTCAGCACCGAACGACTGCAAACGAGCGGCATAGGAAGAGTGAGGAGGGTTGACGGGCTGAGCAGCAATAGGTTGCGATTGTGGAGAGCGTATTGACGAGAGGAGCCATAAACCTGAACGTTTGTTCGACCACATGCCGCAGAATAGCGGCAGTCAGGAAAGGAAGAGGCAGGCAAGGTGGATATCCAGCTTCAGTACAACGGCTTGTGCGCGTGCGACACCTGGCATAGAATCAGGGGGAGATGGTTCGGACCCCGGGTTGAGCTATCTACTACGTCAAACACTATTATGCTCCACTCACGATGAGGTCGATGCCCGAGATGCTGTTCTCGCAAACGGTGCCCTGGTTGGGAGACATAACGTTAAACGCGCCCTTTTCGGCGTTCTTGATGGTATTACCGTACATGTGGTTGCCCTCTCCGTATCCATCCTCGCCACCCACGCGAATCCCGGCCCCCTTGCATTCGGCAATCTCGTTCCATCGGAAGGTGTTGTCCGACCCACGGGAGCCGAAGCAGCCCGAGTTGGGGTCGACCTGCTGCTCGCAGACATTGTGCTCAACAAGGTTGTTGGCGCTGCCCTCCTTGATATCCACGCACTCGTTGCCGTACGTGCGGAAAGTGTTGTGATGGATCCAGTTGTAGCCGCACACGTCGGCGTCCACGTTGTCGGCAGACCCGGTTCTGAGTTTTGGCTCTGGCGCCTATGCATTGTGATAGAAGGCACAAGCATTTCCGTCGGATAGGCGCGGGGTGGGAGGATCCTCAAGGGTAACGCATCCGTGGTTGGCAAAGAACAATCGATCGCACCGTGAAAGCAAGTGTCGAATGGTGCCCACCAAAGCCGATGGGCGCCTTCTGCAGCGCGCGAGTACCGCTCATTTACGCGAGATGTCCGCTCGGTCGCCATGCAATGGGTCTCCTATCCGTTGAAATGCGTACCCGACATCGCCGTCTTTCGTGCCTAAAAGGTCAGCCTTATCGGCGCAAGCATCGACCCAGGGAATGTAGAGCTGCGAGCTTCCAACTACGTTTCCCATGAACATCTCCTGGCGCTCACCTTGCCATCCTTGACCTGACTGAGCGCCGTTCCGGCGTAGATGGCCTCCCCAACTTTGCCGCCCTCGCCATGTTCAAAGGCATCGATTCCACAGTGTTGCAACAATGACAAGAGCCAGGTTGGAGTGATGGGGAATCATTCGGTGAGCTTTTGCAGGTCAGGTTTTGTGGATATTCGCAAGGATAGTACCCTGTGGTCCATCCCTAAGCGTTGGGGACTGCTTTCCTCTCTCTTGTTCTCTCGATGCGCTTTCTCCAAGTCTTGTACCCACCCTAAGCCTGTAATTGGAATAGTGATCGTTTGCAACCTTGCCCGTTTTTTCCCCGTCGTAAGACTGGGCGGAAAAAGCTGGGAGAGGGATGGCACAAAAGGAAAACCCGATTTGGATAGTTCAACAGAGACCCGCAACATATGACCACCACGGTTTGTCCGTTGTGCAGTAAAGAATCACTACAGACAGATATTGACGCACCTGGATGGTGCAACCCGACACCTCAGCGTGGGTCACGAAGTACCTGTTGGAACATCGGTCTTAGGTGGAACAGGGTAGAGGGGGCATGGTTTGCGAGAGAGACCTTGACCTGGATTGAACCATGTTGGTTTCACGATAGGGAAGGATCGCGGAGGTCACGGCGCCATGAAGCCAACAGGCACCTCGTGCAGCTCGGTTTGCTTTAGAATGGGACCCATAGCAGCCAAATATCAAATAATTAGACTCAGCACTGGAGCAATCTATTGTCTAGTGTTTGACATTGGTCTCTGTTGACGTCAGATAGTCGTGGTATTCTATTGACCCTCTTGTTGACCCTAAAACCCTCTTTACCTCGCCTAGCGTCGTACGATGTGGGGTCAGTTCGTAGTGACCCACAGCGGAAACCGTCTGGTGTTGATCCCCTACCGTGATGGGCTCGTCGCTCGCCAGTTATTTGGGTAGGCCCTACGATTAATATGTCGTCAGCGCTGGTCAAACATGGGACACGTCGGTAACACTTTATTTGCGTGCATGTCACCTGAAGTGCACGCATTCCGACGAGAAATTCTTTATCTCGAGGTCGAACATCTCGAGGCCCGTTACCGAAGACGTTTCACCATTCTTGGTGCTCTTGCGGTCAGCACCCAGCACATAGATCGCGGTGGCCACGTTTTCATCGCCGTGGTGGCCATCGAAGCATATTCCCTCGATAGTGTAGTAGTCGTGCGCGATCTGCATCACACGGTCCTGGGTATTGCTTCCCTTGATGCAGGCATCGGGGTCGCCGGTGATGGTAATGCGCTTGTCCTCCGTTCCGTGGGTGACGGTCAGACCATCATGCACGTAGTCGCCCTTCTCAAGGTGGCATGTGTCTCCGGGCTCGACCACTTTTAAGCAGCTCGCCTCGAAGTCGTCCCCGGCTGTGATGGTGATGGTTTCTGCCGACGCCGACGCAACCAGCTACGGAGGGCATACGTGCAAGGAGAAGCGGTGATGGCCATGATGCGGTGTTTGGTTGGGTAGACTACTGCCGTAAGCTCTGGCAGAGTTGTGACTCATGCGTGCACCACTAAACATCAGACCCTTGTTCGACCTATCTCTTAAGCTTCGTCCTTGTTGTGTGTTGTTTTAATGTTTTTTGCAGTCGGGGGTATCGGGCGGTGGTGATGCAATATTTTTTTCTTTTTTCGAGAATAGCAGCTAAATAGCTGTCAGGTTGGGAGGAACACGGTACGAGGAACTGCTGCATCGTTGTCATTTTGTTTCCCTTCACGCCAAAAGTGCCGCGTGTGAAGGATTCAACCGTGTTTTGGGAGAGTGGCCGCCTGAACTCCGTACGCATTGTTTTCTCTCATTTTGATATGCTCCGCAGAATTCTCTCGCTGCCCTGACTAGGCGCCATAGCCCGGAACCTGCTCTTCTCGCATCATAAGGGGACGCACCATAAGAAGACTCGTAGGTAGCTCGTACCAAGCAAGCCGCCTGCTATCAATCATGCTCATGGCTAGGGTGCCTGCATTCGGCCCAACAAGCATTGTTGAGTATGCGTGATGGTGGTGGACCCTGCTGTGTCAACTCACCGTCGGGCGTTTTCTCATCGTGCGGACATCAAGCAGCAACGAACGGCAATGGTAATGACGAGAGTAGGTTTGTGTTGTTGGAATCGTGAGTGGATCCAACACATAATGTGTCCAGCCTTGCTCTACCTAGACCTGTTTACGGCCGTGCCCACGAAGCGGCTCTGAATAATACCGGCGCATGCAGCTCATCGCGGGAAGGTTTGAGTGAGGGTAGCTGCAGTGGGAATGACGTCACCCGCAATTCTGATTTCCCAGAGTTCGTCATTCTGCTTGGCCGTTGTGCGCCCATGCCACCGTAGTATCTGCTGGATAGATATCTAGTCAAGTTATACCCCACACAGTGGGGAATGACCCGCATCTCGCCGCTCGGCAGAAAACCAAAGCTTACGCTGCTCTAGAAGCACGAATGTTGCCCAAACTCCATATTTTCAGCGGATGAACTATCGTCGCCTTTGGGACACAGCCGAGCTTGTCATGACCCTATATGAATGTGTAGTTCACACAATCACACACTACCCACGTCATGTTTGACATACGATCGAACTTCTACTGCTGTGGTGAACAATGTAAATAGTCTAGATAGTGCAGCGGGTACGGACCATTTGGCTTTCATTGTTGGTCGTCGTTTCCCGTCAAGGTACTAGGTCAAACTGCATACTCGGAGTGCAATACGTACATTGTCATGGTACAGATCGAGCAGGGGGGGCGTGGGGTAGGGTACGGAAGTGTTTGCCCCATGGCGGGTGCGTGTATCGACCGGGTGCACGGCGGTAGTCGAATATTGCGGTAGGCAGAGAGTTGAGACGCACGGTAGGTTGCACCTGGTTTTGGTTGAGTGGGGCCGCCGTCTAACAATTTCATACGTGTGCACTTGTATCACAAACCGGTGGACCCCCGGTGACAAACAGCGATACTGTCTATCATGTTACATGCGCCAGCACACGTATCTTTCCTAACTTGAGTTGCACCACACAGGCCGGGTTCATGTCCTACCGAGCACGTGGAAATAAATTGCAAACACACAACACGTCATCTTCCACGTCCAAATCCAGATCAATAATCTAGAGAAGGGTGCCACACGCAGGTCTCTTATCAACTCTAGAGTCACAAACGCGTGAGCACAACCCGATGGTATGAGGTACGAACAGCTTGATGCGAATTCCATGACAACAAACCGTATTCTTTGTGCCTTCAAAACTGGTACAAGGCCCTGAAGACTTGCAATCGACCCCGAATACTCAGGTAGCAGTTTTCGTGCGGTGTCTAGACGAAAAGCCTGGATGACTCGTTCCTTGTCGTGAGAACATCACTCTTGCCCTCTTTGCGGGACTGACATGGTCTCTGTTGACGGACCACATTGTCCCTACCGCAGGCACGTCGAACTCTCTGTCGTGGGCCACGTGCATGTCGACATGTGTATTTGTAACAGCGCCCGCAGTCAAGAGAAAACTCGTAACCTCGCTACCCCCAAGACTTCGTGCCTATCGTGGTGGAGATCGTCTCAGAACATATTTGAAACGACCCCTCGTCGGGTAGCACAAGCTCCCAATCCTTGTTGCGCGAACCAGATCAACTGCCTTCTGGGTCATGCTGTCGTACGTGTTGCCATCAACTCGCCTGCCTACCTGCACGATATAAAATATCATATGGGTAAATAGCAAGTTTGGTGAGGCAGATATAGCCGATGTAGACTACTGTTTATTGAAACGGTCGAATTTGCCAGAGGCGTTATTGTTCCTGTATTTCGGGGTATCAGGTTGAGAAGAGTCCTTTTGGGATGGTCACTTTATCGGAGAGTTCACGTGCAGGAGAAGGCTCGCTGGACAGCGTGGAATAGCAGATTTATACAACAGCAGTACGTGAACTCAGAGAGGGATAGCAAGGATTGGCCAGATTGGGAGGCCAAGAAGTTGCGTTCTTCGTTTTCTCTCTGCGAGCGGGGGCTTGGACGGAGCCCGGGCACGCGCGCGTTTCATCCTTCCAGACGTCATCAACGGGGGCAGAGGCAGGGCGAACTCACCGGTACGGTCATGATGTTTGTTGAGGGAGCGATAGGCGGGGTATGACAAAGCCCTGCTAAGATGATGGCTCACGACTAATGATGACGGGTCACTTGTTGGTGTCCCTGTTGTTCTTGGGCGGTGCCTACACTGCTGTGTACACACACCAAGGTAGAGAAAACACAGTTGTTGCGGTTTGGACGGTGGTGTCACCAGACGCATAACCACAAGGGTACTGGCTCGAATTGCAGCACGCCTGCGTACACGCGCATGGGATGCAATTTGCCGCTGCGAGGTCACGAATGTCCTCCGCAGCCGTCGGTCCGTGACCGAAGCGCAGTGCGCCGCCCACCCACAGGAGTAGCCATGCGCCACAACAATTTGTGCAAAGAAAGAGTCACATACGAAAGGAGACACTGGTTCAAATTGCAGCGCCGGCGCGTCCACGCGCAAGCGATGCAATTTGCCGCTGCGAAGCCGTAAAACGTCCATCGCAGCTGTCGGTCCTTGACCGAAGCGCAGTAGCACATCCATAGGTATCGCCGCTGAACAATATTTTCGCATACGTGTACAGCTATGTACAGCAATGCAGTGTATGCGAAAACATTGCCGCCAAGCACGCGGGCTCGCAACCCGCTTGGCTGTTGACAATAGTCGAAGAGCAGCGGGGCTGATACGGTTACCACCAGAATACGAGCTACTGATTCAAACGTGCACACGAGTGCCGTTTGCCGCTGTGGTGCGCATAATCACCACAGCTGTCGGCCATGGGCTGAGCAGCAGTAGCAGACGTAGGTAGTGCCGCTGAACAAAATTTTTTTTGCTAACAAGAAAATTTTTGCCGCCAAGCACACGAGGGATTGCCACCCCGCTTGGCTGTCGACAGCAGTAGCAGTCGAAGAGCAGCGGGGCTACTACGATTACAACTAGACGTCGGGGAGCTACTGATTTAGTGTCGTTGGCCGCCGTGTTGCGCATAATCGCCACGGCCGTCGGCCATGGGCTGAGCAGCAGTGGCACAGAATACGATGCGTTCCACTGAGAGAAACAAAAAGGGGTTGTTGCATGCATTTGAATTGGTATACAGAGTAGTCTCGACCATTTCAGTCGACCGGTCATAAATCCTGGCCACAGCCACGAATCTCGGAAAAATTGTTTTTCACGTACGTACTGCCCGTGACGGCACCCACCAGACACGGTGATAGACAATGACACGATTGTGAGATCGACGAACACTAAACGGAAAAAAAATATATATATACGTAATGAAAGAAAAACAATGAAAAGGTGGAGAAACGACGTGGTGCGGGTCTCGAACCCGCAACCTCTAGTGCCGGACGTGGGCGCTTGAACGTGTGGTCTACAAATTTGTTGATGCCTTGGGAAGGTGAAATACGAGCCTCTATAATGGAGGTAGTTGCTACGATCGTTCCTTGCAATCGTTTTGTCAATTCATTTACTCCTTGGGTCATGGGTCCTGGACGGGGTCGTTGCACCAGCTGCGTTTGGAAACTGCGCTAGGTCATCGTCATGTCATGCACTACCGCGGGAGTGTGCACGCCACATCACACAGCTATGATGCCGAAAGCCAGCACCCCAAGCTGTCTTTGAAAGAGCATTACGCACACCACTCAACCCAGACACGGCCTGCACAGGCAGCCGCATTCTCTAGCTAGGGAGGTCAACCAAAGAGGACCGCGATCCACATACAGGGAGTTTTTTTTTTTGGACCAACCTAGCCACGAAGTTTGCCATTGCGATGTACACATCGACGTGATTCCGCAACGGTCGGCGCTCGCCGGGCAGCAGTAGCTACCGCCCAAGATAGGAGTACACTTTCAACTCGTTTGTCGCCTTCGTTTTCGCCTTGGTGTGTCGGGACGCAACAGATGCCACCCGCGACGAGGTCTAGGTCTGGTGGGACGCCGGCGGGGCGGGGTCGGGGGCGCGTTGCTCCTAGATCCACCAGTGTTACGGCACGACGAACGCCGACTCGGGGTCGGACGCGATCGGCGGCGCCGTTACGCAGCAGCGGGGCGAGCGCCGCTGACATGGCCGAAATGCGCGAAGCGCTGGCGGCAATGAAAGCGAGCTTGGACGCTGCGAATGGTCAGGTTCGCCAGTTACAGGCGGAGAAGGAAGATCGCGAGGCGGCGGCGGCGGGGGCGGCGGCGGCTGGTGAGCCGCCATCGACCGGGGGCGGGCAAACACCGGCCGGAGACTCGCTGCCGGCCGAGAGTGCGACGCCGGCCGCATACCTGGACCTGACGCGCTCGGCACCGCCCATGTCCATGGTGCACGTACAGAACGCTCGGGCCAAGGAATCCTTAGCGGCATGGCACAACCTCTCCATAATGAAAGTATGGATGCTGATGGGCGAACGGCCCACGGTCGCAAACCTCAAGCTCATCGACATGCAGTCGTTGATGCAGGATGCGGTGCGGGTGACCGCGGGGGTGCTCGAGCAGCTCAATGCTATGTCGGGTTTTCGCGTACGGATGTACATCGCGGAGAGTGACGATCCGAACCTTACCAGCACCAACCTGGTGGAACACATGGAGACGCTGGTGTACGCCATCATGAAAGTCCTGAAGGTTGGGATCGGGTCGGAGGACGGGCAAACGCGCCTAGAGCTACTTCGTCAGCAGCTTCAGGAAGGCGTTGAGATGGTCCGCGCCCACTGTCGCCAACACCGTTCGAAGATGCACGATGCTGCCACATTTAAAGTGATGGCGGACATGGTCGACGAGGACTTAGGAAACTGGACGTCGACGTGGTTTACCAGGGCTCTGGCGTTTAGAAAGCAATACCCGACACCGCCGCACATCGAGTCCATGCCACCGGTGGTGGGGCCTCAGTGGAACGTCACCGGCAATTTCATCGCTTCTGGAGGACTGCGCAACATCGTCATCCGCAGCCACCATTCGCTCATGTCTCCCACCAAGCGTCCCCGCCCGGGGAATTCTGGCGACCGTCGGTGTTTCATGGAGGATAGACCGGGGGGATGTACACGCCGGAACTGTCCGTGGGACCATGTCAAGAAACCCAACCGCCGCACGAGCACTGGGCGTACAGACGCGGGCGGGGGGCGGGCTCGGGACACGGGCAGGGGCGGGGGAGAGCCGGGTGGAGCTGCTGGCGGCGAAGGACGTCGCGGTGGCCGCGGGGGCGGAAGCGGCGAAAGCGGCGGCCGCGGCGGAGGGGGCCGAGGCAGCGGCGGCGGTGCTACCCGCCGTGGCGGAGCATCTTCTAGCCCATAGGGGTACGGGCTCTGCCATGCGGCGGGGCCAACCTCTACCAGCCAGCAGCGCGCGTCTCCGGCACGGGAGGAGGCGCACGAAGGGACGAGGTTGACGCCCGGCCGGCAGACAGGTGCGGTTGAGAGGTTGCGGGCGTGCGAGGTAGCCTTGCACGAATTGTCCCACGCCACAGACTCTCAATCCACCCGGGCAGCAATTGATACGGTTGCAGCAAAGAGCATGAGATTTTTGGAAACACATGATGGCCGGTTTGAGTGCATGCTTGAAACTCTGCGAACGCTTCCCATCCCGCGAGTAGACGTAGAGGACGTCCGGCATTGGTTCGGAAAGGTGAAGGCGTTCCCACACATTGATCTGTTGGTGAAAATAATCAGTGAGGGAGCTCCGGTGGCAGTGACCGGGGCCGGGGATTTACGGGCCGCGATCGAGTACGGGAACCACAATTCAGTGCAGGGTTTTTCGCCGGAAATAGTGTCCAAAATTCGGGAGGATGTGCTGACGGGGCGGGCGTTTGTGTTTCCTCGGGAGGCGGCCGCGCAAATCGTGGGCACTCGCGTGTCGCCAATGACGGTGGCAGTTTCCACATCAAAAGTTCGGATATGCCACGATTTATCTAACGCTGTTTCCGGGCGGGGGGTCAATCAAGATACCGATACCTCGGCGATTCCGGAATGTAAGATAGGATATGTCCTTCGAGATGTGTTGTGGCGGATTTTGTATTTGCATGGTACAGCTGTGGCGAAAGCGCCCGGCACTCCTCCTCGAATCCTGCTTGCAAAGATGGACACTAAGAATGCGTTCCGACAGGTGTCTGTTGACGTAAAGGAGTCCCCCAAGTTCAGCTACGTATTCGAGGATCTCGTAATTGTAGACCGATGTCTCCAGTTTGGGTGGACCAGCTCCCCGGCCCTGTGGGGCGTGTGTGCTTCTGCCGTAGAACACGCGCACAACAACACGACTGTCACGTCGGCCGTGATCACTTCGGAAGGTCGGGACGCCACTAGTCATGTTTGCGTAGAGCCGCGGCGAGAGAACGAAGTGCGCGGGAGGTTGCCGCCAGAGTACGTGTTTCCTCGGGATTCTGGGGGGATGATCCGAAACAACTTCTGGGTGCGCACCTACGTAGACGACGCGTTATTCGTAGAGCTTGAGAGTTTCTTGGAGGGGAGGCGATGCCTGCGCGCGACGCGCTCCTTTGCGTCTGATAGCTTTCGATTGTTCGGTACCCGCAATTCGGGAGAGCCTCCCCTGTTTGCTAGGGAGAAAACCACGTCGTGGGATACGCGCATGGAAATGCTAGGATGGGTGATAGATACTGTGGCGTTGACGATCTCGGTGTCGCAAGAGAAGGTTGCGAAATTGCGGGCGATGTTGGCGGAGTGGCCGGTAGAGAGAAGGGTAGCCACTGTGACGGAGGTGCGGTCGCTCTTGGGCAAGCTGCTGCACTTATGCGAAGTAGTGAGACCGGGAAAGTTTTTCGTACGCCGCATTTTGAACCAGTTGGGGTTACCACCGATGAAAGCAGGGGGAGATGCGGGTACCGGCGTTATGGTAGGAGGAAAACACCGACGCGGACGCGTTCGGCTGGGCCGCGAGTTCCACGAAGACTTGGCCTTTTGGAGGAAAGTCATGGCCATGGCCACAGGGCCGGACGGTATCGTGAAGTTAGAGGCGCCCTTGCTCTGCTCCTTTTTACAGGCGCCGTCTCGAACGCTTGTTAGCGATGCTAGTGGGGACGGCATGGGCGGATTTTGCTTAGAGTCTGGTCAGTGGTGGCGGATTGATTTTACGGATGATATTCGGGCGCGCCTTCGCAACCGGGTATTTTCTCGAGACGATTTGTCGATGAACGTGTTTGAGCTGCTGGGCATGGTAGTCACGGCATGGGCGTTGACAGTGCAGGCTGGGGTTAAGCCAGAGTACCCGGGGCAGAGCATCTTGATGAGAGGAGATAACATGAGTGCTGTCCACTGGGTGAACAAGTGTCGGGGAGCAAAGGAACCCAGGTCGGGTACATTGATGCGGATGCTCGGGTGTTTGGAAATGAGGAGCGAGTGGCGTTTTAGGGCGAAGCACATCAAGGGCGTGGCCAACACGTTGGCTGATGGTATCTCGCGATGGAAGCACGACGAAATCGCCTCTAACTTGCACTCGTATCGGCCCGACATCCGTTGGCAGGAGCAGCATCTAGGACAGGAAGCGTTGGACATCACTTTCGCGGTCTTGGCATCAAGCTCATCGGAGGATCAGTTGCGAACTCGTCTCAACGATGTTACGCGTCAGGTTTCCGGTCTTGGTGCGTCTTTCGTAGCATGATGGGGCTGGAGAAATTCTTTCGAAGTGATGCTTCCCCCAGATATATGGTGTGGGCTTTGATCGACTTTGCTGCTTGGTGTTTCGAGTCCGAAGGAAACTTAGCGCGTACCATTTCAGGAAAACTTGCGGCAGTACAATACTACCACAGGGTAGAGGCACAAGTGGAGATCGTTACGTCCTCCCCGGTGATTAAGTGTGCGTTGAAGGGCATCGCTAGGTCTCACGTAGAAGCGGGCACGGGCCAACGAGTGCGCCTCCCTGTCACGTGGAGGATGTTGTTGGATGGTGAGAGCTTGATTCCAGCGTGGGGAACCGGGGGACGGGTGTTGTGGCTGTGTTTAAGCCTCAGCTATTTTTTGCTGACCCGATCAGACGAGATGTTTGCAGGTAGCTCAGGGGTAGCCCATCCTGTACACTGTCTCACGAGAAAGGATGTTGCGTTCTTCTCCGGGGAAACCCAGCTGGAGTTCGTTCACTGGCGGCAAGCAGATAAGATGGAGGTACATTTCAGGGGACACAAGGGAGATCAGGACCAGAATGGAGAAGTAAGGGCTCGTACACGAGACGAGACTAGTGGCACGCAGTCGGGGTACCGAGCCAACGGGGGAGCCGTGGCTCTGATGGTGGAATTGATGTCTTGTCATGCGACGCTGCCCGACGACGCGCCACTATCCTCGTACCGTAGCGGTCGTAAAGTCAAAGTGTTGAGGTACGGCGAGGCTTTGAGGGCATTCAGAGAGGTAGTCAAGAAGTCAGGGCGTGAACCAAAAGACTTTGCATTGCACTCCCTTCGGATTGGGGGGGCCTCCACCCTGGCGGCTGGGGGGGAGGTTTCGGAACGAGTAATCCAGAGGGCGGGCAGGTGGAAGTCAGACGCGTACAAGCCATACACAGTAAACAATGTGGAAGATTCGCGACGGGTGTCCCGTATTCTAGGCGATAAGGAAAAGGGAGTGGCGAGGCAGCCGGGGGAGAACACGGTGTGGGGTAGCGGGAAAAGGAGACGGTGTTCCACTGTAGTGAGATTCTCATGACGACCTCGGATTGGGTAGAGTAAATGGTAGAGTACCATTTGGGAACTTGGTCGTCTGAGATGTTCCGTACAGTAGGAAGAGTTCCCCACACCGGTGGAATGAGAAACCCCGGGCTGTTTTCTTTGGGAAGAGAGAGAGACAGTAGAATGAATGGACAGAGACACGGTAGGACAGGCGCAGAGGGCGTCTACAGGAATCGTGTTCTGTCGGCGTGGTTTCTCTCTCTTCCCCGCGTGTGAAGAGAAAACATTAATGCAAAAAGGCAATTCGAAAGAAAAACAATAAATAGCAAGTTTGGTGAGGCAGATATAGCCGATGTAGACTACTGTTTATTGAAACGGTCGAATTTGCCAGAGGCGTTATTGTTCCTGTATTTCGGGGTATCAGGTTGAGAAGAGTCCTTTTGGGATGGTCACTTTATCGGAGAGTTCACGTGCAGGAGAAGGCTCGCTGGACAGCGTGGAATAGCAGATTTATACAACAGCAGTACGTGAACTCAGAGAGGGATAGCAAGGATTGGCCAGATTGGGAGGCCAAGAAGTTGCGTTCTTCGTTTTCTCTCTGCGAGCGGGGGCTTGGACGGAGCCCGGGCACGCGCGCGTTTCATCCTTCCAGACGTCATCAACGGGGGCAGAGGCAGGGCGAACTCACCGGTACGGTCATGATGTTTGTTGAGGGAGCGATAGGCGGGGTATGACAAAGCCCTGCTAAGATGATGGCTCACGACTAATGATGANTCGTTCGTTTACAGACTTCAGCTCATCGCGCGCGGATACTAGAAAATATATGACTCGTTCTCTGTCTATCTACGAAACGATGAGTACAAAACATGTTTTGGTGAACGCGTCCCACCTCAAACTTGTCAGCCGCCCAAGTCTTGCCACCGAGATTCCGTGCAAGTAACCGCTGGGCCACGTGACCACCGCATTTATGGCTCGCAAGCTGCCAAATCCAACTCGAACCTATGCCACCCGTTCAAGCGGCCAGCACTTCCAAGCCTCTTGGCGCCCCGGAGAAAATCTTCTTCCGCACCCACGCTCATCACTGACAGACGGGTTGAGTCGCCTTAGATTACCAACGGACGCCCCGCGCGCAAGCATGCGCGGAAGACCGGAAGCGTGCGTTGCCTCCTGTTGTCACCCTTCACCCAGAAAGAGGATTCCGCGACGAGTCGTCCACTGACCCGTCTCTTGTACGAAATGACAACATGTAAGAGCCACACGACACGGCCACGACGCGGAACAAGCCCTACACGAATCTGAGAAATGTAGGTTGGCGTCAGAACTAGGCCAGCCAGAGAATCTCCGAACACAATATTGAGCACAGATTGCAAAATCCGAGATTAAAATGGTTTTGGTCGTTCGAACCCAAATAGGTAGCGATAGTATACAGTACAGCTCGTTAACACAATCATACCCACAAACGCCTTTCAGCACATGACACAAACCGGTGTACCCAAGAACTAACAAGTGATGACACGGCAGGGAAACACTCTGTGACACACCACCCTCCTTGGTGGGTGGGAGAATATGGTGATTTGTTCTTGGGTTTCGCAAAACATTGTTCACACAGACAGGGCGGCGTCATACCGTGTCCGCAACGGTGGTGTTTGTTCTCGCGGACACAGGCCAAATATATGGCCGGCGAACCCGGTGTGGATTGAATACTATCATCAAACGAAGGATATGACCCGTCTTTTGTTGTACGAAATGACAAAAAGTGGAAACCACACCACTCGGCACGAGCCCTACACGAGCCCTACATGAATCTGAGAAAAGTAGGTTGGCCTCAGAACTAGGCCAGCCAGAGAATCTTCTCCAAAAATCATATCTTGCACAGATTGCACAATCCGAAATCAAAAACGCATTTGGTCGCTTGAACCCAACAAGGGAGCGTTTGTAGTACAGCTCGTTCACACAGTCATACCCACGATTACCTTCCGTACATGATACACACGGGTGTACCCAAGAATTAACATGTGATGATACGACCGGGAAACACTCTGACACGAGCACGCTCCTTGGTGGGTGGGAGAAAATGGTGGTTTGTTTTGGGGTTTTGTCATAAACCGTTCACACATTACTTGTAAGCACAGACAGAAACGCGTCATACCAAATCCGCAGCGGTGGTGTTTGTTCACCCAAAAATTGGACGAATACATGGCCGGCGAACCCGGTGTGGATTGAATACCACCATAATGGGTGGGCTACGACCCCCCGTTTTCAGTACGAAATGGCAAAAAATGGAAACCGCACGACACGTCCACGATGCGGACCAAGCCCTACACGAATCTGAGAAAAGTAGGTTGGCGTCAGAACTAGGCCAGCCAGAGAATCTCCGAACACAGTATTGAGCACAGATTGCAAAATCCGAAATCGAAATGGATTTGGTCGCTCGAACCCAGGTAGCGTTAGTAGACAGTACAGCTCGTTCACACAACAATCATACCCACAAACACCTTTTAGCACATGACACATTGGGGTGTACCCAAGAACAACAACATCAGGATACGACCAGGAAACACTCTGTGACACGAGCACCGTCCTTGGTGGGTGGGAGGGTATGATTGTGTGAACGAGCTGTGCTGTCTACTAACGCTACCGAGTTGGGTTCGAGCGACCAAATCCTTTTTTATTTCGGATTTTGCAATCTGTGCACAATAATATTATGTTTGCAGATTCTCTGGCTGGCCTAGTTCTGACGCCAACCTACTTTTCTCAGATTCGTGTAGGGCTTGTTCCGCGTCGTGGCCGTGTCGTGTGGCTCCTACTTGTTGTCATGTCGTACAACAAGAGACGGGACATAGCCCACCCTTCATGGTGGTGTTCAAACCACACCGGGTTCGCCGGCCATCTATTTACCCTGTGTCTGAGAGAACAAACACCACAGTTGCGGACATGGTATGACGCCGCCCTGTCTGTGCTTACAAGAAATGTGCAAACGGTTTATGACAAAACCACCAAAACAAAGCACCATACTCTCCCACCCACCAAGGACGGTGCTCGTGTCACAGAGTATTTCCCGGCTGTATCATCACTTGTTAGTTCTTGGGTACACCCCTATGCGTCATGTACTGAAAGGTTTTTGTGAGTATGATTGTGCGAACAAAACGTACGAGAAGAATGGTGTGATGGGTTCGAGCGACCAAATCCATTTTGATTTCGGATTTTGCAATCTGTGCACAATAATGTGTTTGGAGATTCTCTGGCTGGCCTAGTTTGAGCCAACCTACTTTTCTCAGATTCGTGTAGGGCTTGTGCCGTGTCGTGACCGTGTCGTGTGGCTCCTACTTCGTGTCATTTCGTACAACAAGAGACGGGTACCCTTTATGGTGGTGTTTAAACCACACCGGGTTCGCCGGCCATGTATTTGCCCATCGTCTGAGAGAGCAAACACCACCGTTCCGGACATGGTATGACGCCGCTCTGTCTGTGCTTTTAGACGAAATCTGCAAAGGGTTCATGACACAACCACCAAAACAAAACACTGTATTTTCCCACCCACCAAGGAGGGCTCGTGTCACAGAGTTGTTGTTGTTGTTGCTGTTGTTTTTTCTCATATTAGCTCTATAGTCCACAAAAAATGGGGAGCCCTTGTTCTCAAAACACGGCACATACAACGCCGCGGGGAAACAAAACAAAAAGGTACAAACCACTCGGAAAAAGAAATAAATGGTAGAAGGAAAAGAACAGGTATCGCACCGACCGTTCGAGAGAAGAGCCCTCGGAAACCGATAAAAAATATATATGTATATATAGGAGGACGCTTTCCACACCCGCCCAAAGAAAAAATCAAAGGGTAACGTACCAGCACCAGGCACTACGCACCAGGGCATGGGAGTAACAGAGCAAACAGGACAAAGAGGCGGCAGATGGGCAGACAGCCAGACGTACAAAAATAAAGGCAACAGCAAAGCGAGATCAAGGTACCCAACACAGCAGAGTAGGCAGGGAGGTCATGAAAAAAAGATACACAGCACAGAGGCCGAAGGCAATACAAAGGACATACACAAAGGAGTATAGCATACAGCAGGGAGGGAAACAGGGCGCAACAACATCAGCCGGATACATAGTTCGCCACAAGTGCTGCCTCGGCCGCCCTACTCGCTTCTACAGCAGTACCCGGTCGCCGTTTCTTCCACCCCACCGCCGCTTCCCCGGCTCTCTTTCTCTTCGGTCCTGAGATGGCCGTACTCTCTGCTTCTGCTTCCCTCGCGCGCTGGCGCTTCGCGGACGCTTCCGCCTCCTGCATGTGCCATTTCCTCATGAACCATACCGCTCCGTCCTCGACCTTGTTGTACCACACCTCCGGGTCCTTGGCGCTCTCTTTCCATTTACCCCCCTTCCTTTTCGTCTCCCATGTTGAAGGCCACGAGGTCCTCTCCTAGA